ATTTTTAAATTTTTGTGTGTGTGCTGAACTTCGGTTCAGTTGCAGGTTTAGACCAGTGTCTGACCACCTAAATCAGAAAAGGTGCTATGTTTGCACCTGGCCTTAGTCTATCTTGCCTCCCTTCTGACAGATTTCTGGGCTACAGATAAGTAGACGAAAGTATGGAGATTATCTAATCCAATCTTTGCTTGAGGCAGAGTCATCCCTATTCAAAATAGTCCATACAAGTCTATCAGACCTATTTCTAAAACTATACAAGCAGCCCTACTGCACAACTACAATACATATTGCCCAAAGATGATAAAAGCACTCTAATCTGCCACAGGTAAAGAATCAGAACAAAGACTCTCAGTGTCCCACTACTGCAAGAATTGTTAAAAATGTACTCAAAAGATATCCAAAGATAAGAGCCCTTCCCTCTGATACAGAGGAAGGCCTCCTTTCCCCCACCCCTCTATAATCTGTACCAATATGACCATGGGGAAAAATAGCTTCCTGATTCTAAATGTGGTAATTGGGATAGGTGGAACGACAGACTCTCCGACCAGAAACTTCTGAGTTTTAGTCCTGGTAGGAGCATTAGCACACCCCAGTCAAAATCCTCAGCCTTGGCTGTAGCCAACACTCAATGACTTGGAGGAAGGAGACCCCATTCCACCCCTGGCCCCTGTAACAATGGTGGGAGGGCCTTCAGGGCCCCATGTGGCAACCAGCAAAGCCCAGAAAGTTTGAGAGAGGGGTGGAAATCAAACAACTTTAATTTTGCTCTGTAATCTGGTGACAGCAAGCATAACTCCATATACTGCACTGCCTAACTGGACAGCCAGAACTCTTCTTTCTGTACCCTTACCCTAAATGTATTCCTTTTAAACTTCTTTTATCACTAAGCCAGTTGTGAACCTCCGCTTCATTCTCCAACTGCTGAGCATGCTCCTTCTCAATACCCACCTCTGTGTGCTGCAGAGCTCTTCTTGTTACTAGTACCGAAACACACAATTTTATTCTTACCCATATGGTATAACCTCTTCTCTACTTGGATTTAGTATGTAATAAAATTCCTTTTTCATTTCCAAACTGTGGAATGTTGCTGGTGTGTGGAAGGCTGACATTCTGGTGGAATCACTGAAAACTGTGACAGTTGAATTATGAGAAATTAACAGGAAGGTCTAAATTTCTCTCAGTTGCACTTGTACAGCCCCATTCATTTCAGGAAAAAACATGGTCATTACATTTTGGAGAGTTTAGGTAACTGTTCCCTAAAATTAAAGGGGGAAGCCTATTCTAGTAGAGCAGGAGAGACAAAAAAGGAAAGAGGAAGTGAATCATGAAAAGAAAGTATGAAAATAGGGAAAATAAGGTTAATTATTTTCCTCTGTTTCTTTCCTGTTCACATATTCCTGTGAAATATGTGAAAAGGAAAGAAACAGAGGAATATAATTAACCCATGTGTGACAAAGGTTGAGTTGCCCTGTAATAATTTATTAATGCTCTTTGTTGAACAGATGCTGGCATGTTTAGTGTCTCAATCTGGTAGTTTATTTGAATGGCAGGTTGTAAAAGAAAATAAGCAGGAAAGAATAGCCCAAGACAAGCCAACTTTCAGCAAACAATTGAGGGCTGTTAGGGTGGGGGCAGACATAAAGCTTCAAATATTCTAAATATACTTTAAACCTCAAGAGTCTAAACTTACAGACCAGTTAAGACTGGCTCAGACTTCAGGAATGTTTCAAAAGAACACCAGGAAAAATAAGTACTATTTTAAGCCAATCCTTCATGAACCAGCTCAATGTTATACAGGGACAGAGAGCATTCCAAATCTAGTGTCTGGTCAGTCCTCCATGATGACTAGAAAATGATAGAGGCTTTTCTTTTAAGAATTGGCTTGTAGATAAAGTAGATATGCATTAGAATAATGGTACAAGGCAATGGCAAGGGTTAATTGGTTTCTAAAAGCCTCTTTGTGACAAAGTTTCCTTCAAGGCCCACTGTGTCAGAAGCCAGTCAACACACAGGGTGTGCCTACATGTCTCCATAAGGCAACATTGCTACAGTGCTGTGCTTTAGTACTTAAGTACAGCACAATACGGGTGGTTACTGTACCATGCGGGCAGCGCACACTTAGATTTTCCCTCTATGTCACTGTAGTGACACACTACAGTTGTGTAGAGATGCCCATAGGCTGGGAAATTGAAGACATGTAATACACTATTCCATAACATGAACAGTTTACCCAAACAGAGATAAGGAACTCTGCAGCACTGGCACCAGGTCACAGTGACCAACTGCAGAGCCCTTGAGGTTTATAGCTTTGGTGGATGGACCAAATTAAGAGATCAGTAAATAACCAAATTAAGATATGTGCATGTGATAGGTTTGTTGGAACAAAGGAATATGCTAACAAGATGGAATGTGGACAGTATGACGACAACAGGGAAACCAATCAACAATACCTGGGAATGAAGAGTCATCAGAGGATGAAAAGAATACAAAAGGAGGGATTTCAGAGCAGCAAAGGGTCCCTGAAAAGGGAACCTGAGACAACCATGGGCAGAGGGCACACCATTAGCCCATTTCACCCACCCCCTTGTGGGGAGTGCCCCTCGGCCCTCTATCTCCAGGCTGCTGACATCTGACTTTCAAGAGAGAAGCACAGGGTGAAGCTCCTGTATTGGCCTGATGTACCCTCCCTCTATGACAGCCCTAGGACTGGTAGATATATAATTGTTTGCCTTGCCTGCATTATTCTTATCTAGTATCACTGTGTATTACTAAAATTTGCCTATTATCGAATGGAGAAATCGTGGTCAGTCTGACAGATTGGGTCTGGCCAGAACAAGGTATCTGGATTAAAAATCCAGTGCCAACAATCCAGGCATCCAAAACTGCACTGCTCCTCCTCCCCTCATACCACCCCCCCCCCCACGTGCAGGGAAAGGGGTTTCTCTGGAATGCAGCCAAGACTCAATGGTCCAAACCCACCATTCCCAGCTCCCTCAAGGGGTTGGGGAGGCATACCACATTGTAGGAGCAGAAATGGAGAATTTTTAAAGTCACCAAATCAAGTAAAGAACCTGGCCCCCTAATCCTCCTAGTTCTTGCCATCCCCTCCCTTTCCCTCCATGCCTAGTAGTACATCCCCTATCTGCCCATCCCTACCCCCTTGCCCTGCTTTGCCCACTGCTGCTGCTATTCCTACTGTTCCCAGAGGGATGGGGACTCCAAGATGTTTCTGCCCTACTCCATGATATTCTTACCTGCTTTGGGGACTGCTGCTTCCATGGCATGGTCTGAAAGAGGGGTACAACTGTGCCCCTCTAGATATGTTCCTCCCCCTCTGCTCATTTGATGGGGAGGAATGGAGGGTTTCCCAGGGGCTGGTGGGGTGCTGTGTGGCTTGCCTCCATCTTACTCAAATAAGCCTGGCACCCCAAAGTGCAGGATCTCTAGCAGAAAGGTGAAATTGATAGCGCAACTTTCAAAGCAGAGGGCTGAAAAGCTATGGAGATCTTGGGAAAACCCTGGAGCACACAACCCTGCAGGAACCAGAAGCAAGGGGCAACCAGCCCCTGACAAACTTTTCATTCCTTCCTGGAAGGTATGATGGTCTGGGTAGCTTACCACTCCATTTCTGGCAGCAGCACTATCCCTAAAAGGTTAGGGCTCTACATAGACCCATTAGCAGTGTATGTGATACCTCTGTCCAGGGACAACTTTGAACTTATTCTTAAATCAGTGATATTCTTGGAACAGTTCAAGTGTTATGTCTATCTGCACCCTTATAGGACAGAACCAGTAGCTCAGAGGAATCTACCTTGACCTCCTGCAGAGCCTACTAAACTAGTTTTTTTGGAACCAGAAACCTAGGAGCTAGAAAGAATAAAGGAACTCTGTATGGATAAAGAAAGAGACTTTCCTCAGTGAATAGGTAGTTAATGGAGAGTTTGGTCATAGGAACCAGTCTGTGACAGAGGTACTTCCTAGGATCTCATAGGAGCCAGGCCAGTTTAAGTTGTCATCAGAGTACAGAAAGCTTTTAGGTGAGTTAGGCATTGGAGGTAGGCTGTTTTTATAGAATCTGTCTCTTCTTTATATTTGTTTCTATTCTTGACACTAATTTTGGGGATTGACAAATTTACACTCATTTTAACAATTAGTCCAGGAAGAACAAAGAATTGATCCAGCTATAGGTTCTCTAAAAATGTGGTTAATGTGAAGTAATCAGCTGATGAAAAAGGTCAATAGAATACTCAAAGTGCATTAGAATAGGCCACAGCAGAGAGTAACAATCCCAGATCAATGTCCCAGACTGCTGTCAGCAATTTAAGTAAAGCTGGCTCAGGCACAAAGGATAGTTTCAATTTAATAAGGAAAATATGGAATATTGAAAGTATTCCTGTATATCTGAAGCTATTGATGCTAAAGCCAGATCTCAAATTAAGTATTCTGGATAGTATTTGAGCACTCTTAAATAAAGACACTAGCCTAGTGAGAGGGGATTGAAGGAAGTATAGGTTTTCTTTAGTTGCAACAGTATAGATAAATTCTGCAGCACTCTAAGGTTATGGCTGTATTTAGGAAAAAAGTGTTGAAAACCTCCTCATAGTTGAGACTTTTTTTAAAGGTGATAATTTCTAAAGCCAATACATAGAAAGGAATTTTTAAAAATCCAGTAATACTTATACACTAAGTGGTTTACAGAAAAATAACTTCAGGCAATGTGCTCCATCAACTGAGTATACCTGTTGAAATGTTAAACAACAGAATCACCAATGCTTAAGCTTTCAACTTATTTGATTATATAATGCTCCAGTATTTGCATAATTAGCAATAGAGATAACCATCTACATTTGATAGACTAAGGGCACACACCCTCATTTGATACATACAAAACATTACATTAAATATTGTGGTTGCTAGGTCAAGCACTCAGAATTAGGAAATGCCAGAGTTACACTTGCCTGTGTGATGTATCTGCCCCCCTCAAGAGATAAACCCAAAGATTTCAAATGGGAATCCATAGCATCAAAAATATTCTTGCCTCTTGTGAGCTTTCTGAGTTCTTTGCAACAAAAGAATTCCTCTATTTTTTCATAATCAAAAACAAGTAGAAGGTAAGAAGTGGCATTTCCTGGGGGCAGCCCTGGAGCCTAAAAAGGATGAGAACCAAAAACATATAGTCTTTTTCATTTAAATGTGTAGTCTTAGGACTGAAAAAAAATACCCTTTCCTGAACTCAATGTATATAAGGCCCATTCAGTACAGGAATAGCCTATGCATTTTACAGCTCTTTAAGGCTGGTTGTCTTGTTATTCTAAGTACCTTATATTTCCAGTAGAAGCCTTGTAATTTGACAAGCACTGATCTGTTCAGGGCTGCTTTAGAAGCCTTGATATTAGTAGATTTCACTCAGTTATGCAGTTCAACAGCGTGTGCCTTATAAAGTAAATAGTGGACCTAAAGCGTTCCAATGTACATGAGTATCTTACTCAGATAACCTAACCAATGTTTATTACAATGTAAACCAGAAGCTGACAACCTTTACAAGTTGCAGGCTGAAACAACCTAGCTCAAGTCTACTGGGGCTGAGGGGCTTCAGTGTTGGGCTTTGCCTACTGCTGTACTGGGGCCAGGCAGCTGGGAGTCGTACCTGTGCTGCTTCTCTCTGCCCACCTCCTCACCTATTATCTGGCTGTATCATGGCCGCAGTTTCCAGTCAGTGGGGAATTGAGCCAGGGCCATACAGCTGGGAGCTGTGTCCACACTGCTGTTGCTTCTCTCCTGCCCCTCACCTTCTTTCCTCCTCTCTTCCTCTAGCCCCATCTCCTTACTGCAGTGTGGGTGTAGTTTGAAGCTTCCTGACCCCAGCAGTACTCCCCACTGGCTGGAAGTAACTGCAGTATGGGCATACCTTTCAGCTGCCTGGCCCCAGCAGAGCTCCTTGCTGCCCAGCCCCTGTGTGGGCATGGACACAAGCAAAGCCCTCTGGCTCCATGGGCCAAATCCAGTGGATCAGCTGTATCCATCCAGATCCATGGATCAGATGTTGCTGACTCCTGATCTAAGCAATAGGCAAAAAATTGGGACTGGCATCGTGCTATGCAGGTAAGGGAACTGTGCACTTACCCAATATGTCTATAAATGGAGTACTGTAGTCTTTGAAGGTCAGATCATATAGTACTTTTTCCTTATAGGGTAACTGCCTTATACAATGCATAAGATGGCCAGTGTTCAGGGAATGAGGAACATGTTCAATATGTTGTTTTACTTTGGTTATTCATTATGTACCTTCATATCTGCATATTACTTAGACCCTGCTGCTATACAGGGTTGCTAATGGTTTTGTGGCCTTTTTACACTAAAAGGAACATGAGTGTCTCACAAACATTATTTCATTTATTTTCAGAACATCCCTATAAGGAGATATTATCCCCATTTTTCAGAGAGGAAATGGGCAAAAGTAATGGACAAAAGTAACTACCAATTTCTCAAACTTAGAATGTGACTTTTCAAAATAATTTGTGTGCTCTAATTACATCACCTACTGAGTTTGGTTCCAGCTGTGAGTGCTCAGGACTTTTGCAAATCAGATACCATTTAAATTCAGGCACCCAGGAAATAATGAGTACACCTTTAGTTACCACCTATAAAAAGTTTGGTTTGTGACTTGCCCTAATCACTGAAGAACTCTGTGACAGAGACAGAATCATGCAGCATTTTATCTTACTACATTTCTTTTTCTTATTTACTACTCACCTTTCAACTTCTGAAGCAAATAAGGCTGAAGTCCCATGGACAATATTCTCCTCTACTTTCAGGCCCAAAGCACCATCCTTTTTGGGTAGTGGATGAAGCAGGGGGTCCTGTAAGAAAAAGACCTGTATGAAATCATATAATTAAAGCCTACAGAGCAGACAAGGTGGCAAATTGTTGCACAAATGGACTTAATTTTAATATCTCCTAACATTTTAGCTTTTGACTTTGCTACCTTTATAATCTTTAACACAGGAAATTACTTGCAATAACTTTGTTTAAAATAGCAGGTTGAAAAAATTAAAATACTGTCATAACACCACCCTCATAGTTTAGCATCAAGGTTGAAATCTATAGACTTCTGCCTTCTGAGTTAGTGTGGTAACTGTTAGCAGTAGGAGGCTGTCATCTTCTTTAGATAACAAGGACATTTTGCCAATGCTTTTCACATATATTGCTGGCAACAGTAAGACTCAAGATTCTTGGTCTCCATTCCAGGTTCTGTGCTTTCACAGTTACAGATTTTCTTCCCCACAAGCTCCACTTCTTAAGTCTTATACAACCTGGGTTGTCTGTTTCTTTCCTCTAGCATGTTATCTAGAGAGTTTTAGTCTCCACTCCTTAAGTTTCTCATTCCAGTCCCAATCTCTTCCATCCAAGTTCCTGTCTCCATCTGGGTTCTACTCCTCCACCCCCACAAAATAAAATCAGCCTGAAGCAGCTGGTATGGACCATTCCAGCTTTAATGGTAGAACTCAGGTAAGTTATCATCACCTGGCAAAAAGTTTCATAAAATAATCTCAGTGCCACTGAGCACTCAGGTGCCCTGCACCTGAGAGCAGAAAACAGCTCAGGAGAGACCCTTTAAACCAGCTTCAGGCTGTATGGCCTTCTTGCCTTGAGTTCTGTGAATGTAAAATCCCCCTCAGTTCTATCCCTTTTTTCTTTCAGAAGATGCATAGACACCAATATTGTCTGCCTTATCCTTAAAATACTTGAAACACTTGCAACCCATATAAGATAATGATTATAATCAAATGTACTTCAAGTCAACATGGCACATGGTGACCAGTGGTGTTCATCAGGGTTCAGTTCTTGGACCAGTACTCATTAACATATCCATAAATGACCAGGATTTGGGTGTCAGAAGTAGACTGGCTAAGTTTGCAGATGACAACAAATTATGGAGAAGTACAGTCACATTAGAGGATAGGCTAGGGATTCAGGCTGACTTGGACAGGCTCACAAAGTGGGTGGATAAAAACCTGATGACTTTCAACATACAAAAATGCAAGGTGCTCCACCTCAGGAGAAAGAACCCACATCATACCTATAGACTTGGCAGTGCTACATGCACTAACACTATGGCTGAAAGAGACTTGGAGGTCTTGATTGACCACAAGATGAACGTGAGCCACCAATGAGATGTTGCAGCCAGCAAAACAATTAAAGCCTGGCTTGCATCTACTGATGCATCTCAAGCAAGATCCCCGATGTCATCCTCCCACTTTATTCAGCCTTGGTGAAGCCGCAGCTGCAGTACCGCATCCAGTTCTAGGTTCCATACTTTAGGAAGGACATAGAGGAGCTTGAGAGAGTCCAGAGGAGAGCTATGTGCATAATCAGAAGTCAAGAGAGCAAGCCTTATGAAGAGAGGCTGAAAGGCATGGGACTCGTCAGCTTGGAAAAGCATAGGTTCAGGGGGCACTTGGTAGCAGCCTATAAGTATATCAGGGTTGTGCATCAGGATCTGAGAGAACTTCTGTTCACTGTGAACATCTGTGAGAGAGGAGACAGGAGCCCTCCCAGCATGGCCCGGACCCCTAACCAGAGCACCGCAGCACTCACTGTAGGAGCCGAGATGAGTGGCAGTAGGGAGGAGACCAGAGCACAGACACTGGCTCAGGTGCAGGCTCAGCAGTTTCGCAGCTGCCTGAGCCTACGTACTGGAGAAAGCTGGGGGCATGGCCTCCGAGCAGTGCAGGCTGTTCAAAAGGCGGCCAGAGAAACAGCTGGTGGAGAGCTGGAGAGAGGTGGAACACCAGCTGGAAGATGCCAGCTCAGGAGCCTGGAGGCTCCAGCTTTAGCCCCAGCTTCCCAGAGAAGGAGGCAGCCTCCCACCAGGAGACCAGCAAGGCAGAAGGCAGGCTCAGGGGTTGGCAGGAGCCAAGAAGCCCTGTTGGAAGGCAGAGATCAGGTGGGATGCCACTGGGAAATGGCAAGGGTCTGACTAGAAGCCCCAGAACTAGGACTGAGGGCAGACCCTCAAGTCCACAATCATTCTTGGGTGGCTACAGAGGGGGCAGAGCACGGGGAACTATAAGCCCAGGAAAAGGGAGAGGAGTAATGTCGGCAAGAGAGAGACCAGAACGATGGGACCCCAGGTCAGCCAGGCTCCAGGGTGGGGATGCTGGAGGAACTAGTAGGGACAGGACACAAGGGCGGTCCCAGTACCCCTGCCTGTTAGAGGGGAGAAGAAGAACAAGTCCCCTAGGAGGGGGAGAGAAAGGAGCCCCAAAAAAGAGAGAGAGAAAGGCAAGCTTGGGAGCTCCACTGGCAGGTTCTGGCATTTTCAGTTGAGTTGTAGGTGACCCCAGAAGGGGCAAGTTTATTTTTCTCAAAGAGGGGAAAACCAGCCCGAAAACCAGGGGTGGATCCCTGAAGGTTCACGGTCCAGAAGACCCAAGGCAGGCAGTGTGGGGAAGATCTGTGGGAAGCAGCATCAACCCAGGCTGAACGCATGGTAAGCGTGGGGTAAAGGGGAGGTTTGGAGCCCCACAAAGACAATCCCAGGGTCGAGACCCCTCCGGGCCCCCAACAGGGAACTGCCTCCCCAACTAATAACACCAAAGACATGGCAGGAAAGAAAAAGGGGCAGTGCCCAGACCATCTAGGTGGCACCAGAATAGGGTTTCACCCTGATGTCACTGGAAGGCAGGGCACCCATGGAGAGGTCCCCAAAGCCTTACAATACCTACCAGTGACAACCAGGGCACCCCAAGGGAAGACAAGGTCCAACAGTCACAAACTGCTGGAAGACCATTTTCGACTGGACATAAGGAAAAACTTCTTTACTGTTTGAGTCTCAGAGCCTGGAATAGACTTCCTCAAGAAGTGATGCAAGCACCTACTTGGGACATGTTCAAGAAGCGTTTGGATGATTATCTTGCTGGGGTCATCTGACCCCAACTGACTTCCTGCCCTTTGGGTAGGGGGCTGGACCTGATGATCTCACAAGGTCTCTTCCAGCCTTAATGTTTATGAAATCTATGAAGAGTCAGGGAGGATTTTTTTTCTACCAGTGCACAAGTTGTATGTATTCTGATTGGGTGTTTGTCCTTTTCTGGAGGGATAGAGTCTTGCTCCCATACTGAGTATCAAACTTTTGCCATTTTGGGGGTTCATAGATGAGAATGAAAGGCACAAGTTTGGGTTTGGATTTTGTTAGTTTTTTTTCCTTTGTCTGCACCATGGTTTGTAAATGACTTACTAGGATCATCTTGGGTATATTTCACCTAAGCAATTCCTTGTTTTTGCAGGGGTGTTTGACTATGGTGGTGCTTTCCTCTCTCCCATTCTCTGGCTGTACTGCTCCATTTCCCTGACAGTTTAATCCTCTGAGACTTTAATGCTTTGATTTGGTTCAACTAAAGTCATTGAGTTCAAAATAGTGTCTGAGCCAACTGTGGTGTCTGGTGATAGACAAGGGATCAGATTAGCTCATCCACTCCTCCAGGTTTTAAGCTCTGTAAAATCTATAGTTTTATATTTTCAAAATTTAGATTATACAATCAATCAGAATGAGCAGTGGCGCACAGTTCTCTGAGACTGCAACATGTTTGAGTAAGTGGATGATTTTCAGTTCATCCTGTTTTTTACTACCGTCACTTGCATCCTTTTGGGTGTTTTCACATGTGCTCCATAGTTACAGCATATCAGAGCTGCTTCCCAGCTCATGTATAGGCACCCTTTATGCCTGATATCACCATTAACATAGGTAACTGGAATTCCCAAAATAATCCTCTCTCAGTAATATTTCCCTTACTTCAAACAACAGACAATAGCTCTAGCTCCCATGTCCATCCAGGGTTATTATTTTTCCTTTTGAGGAGATTAACATGACACAAAATAACTTTCAAGAATGCTTTGGAACCTTGAGTAAGTAGGGAGAACAGGATCCCAAAACAGTGAAATCTGCCACATTATATATAACCAATTTCCTCTGAGAGTTCTCTCACTCTGAACTGAGCAATGTAAAACTCAGTAAAGACACATTAAATAATCTCCTTGAAAACCTCCTATTGTGCTTGTTTGAAAGCAAATGAATAAAAACCACAAGAAACTTCACGTGGTATATGGGAGAAAGAATACATTGCATTTACTTAAATTAGCTCCGAAGTACCTATCTTGTATAGCATCAAGCATATAATTAATAATAAATAATAAGTAAATGTACTTCTTGAGAAAGGTGCCAGAGTTATGTCTCTAGAGAATGATGCTGTTTTTTAAAAATATACACAGAACAGGCACAGCTGCAATGCAGGCTTATGTGCTCTGCCCCCAATCACCTATATATTTATTCTTACATGCTGTGCCCTGCCGCCCAGTGTATGGTAACACATCTCAAGCTTTGTCTACACTGCTAGTTAGGGCTGACTTGATGGCTGCCTTGAAACTAATATCACTGACCATCTACACCAAAAGCCCCTATGATTGACTGTTCCAGCAACAGTCCACCTTAACCCTGGAGTGCCTTTGAATGTTACTTTGTAGGCATCAGACAGGGGAGGAATACCAGCAACAATCTCATAACTTCCCATTTTTGACTTCTGGGCCTTTACATCCCACTCTGCTGTCTTCTCTACTGCCTGTGAGTGGAGCCAAGCACAGAAGGGGAGACAAGTAGTAAGCAGACTGATTCTTACAAGAGCTGTGTTCAAGGAACAAGAAACACAGTATGGATAACTTTGCTGCTGGGTTCAAGGTAAGACAGCAACAGGGAGGGATAACTTATATGGGACCACAGTTGTCAACCCAAGAACAGTATTTTTAAATGGCAATCTGCATACTTTTTACTGATGGCCACATTTTTTTGTTCCTTGAGCACAGC